GTTGGGGGGGGGGGAATTTTTGAGAGAGGTTGGGGGGGGGGGGATTTTTGAGAGAGGTTGGGGGGGGGTTTTTGAGAGAGGTTGGGGGGGGATTTTTGAGAGAGGTTGGGGGGGATTTTTGAGAGTTTTGGGGGGGGGGAATTTGAGAGAGGTTGGGGGGGGAATTTGAGAGAGTTTGGGGGGGGGGGAATTTGAGAGAGGTTGGGGGAAATTTTTGAGAGTTGGGGGGGAATTTGAGAGAGGGGGGGGAAATTTTGAGAGAGGTTTGGGGGGGGGATTTTGAGAGGGGAGGGGAAATTTTGAGAAAGTTTGAGGGAATTTGAGAAAGTTTGGGGGAAATTTGAGAGTTTTGGGGGAAATTAGAGAGAGGTGGGAGGGAGGGAGGGTAGTAGGGAGAGGGAGGAGGGAGGGGAGGGAGGGAGGGAGGGAGGAAAGGAGGAGAGAGAGAGAGAGAGGGAGACGGAGAAAGAGAGAGTGAGGGAAAAAGAGAGAGATAGGGAGGGAAGAAGAGAGAGGGAGACGGAGAGGGAAAGAGAGAGGAAGAAGTAATGGGAGGGAGGGAGGGAGGAGGGAAAGGAATAGGAAAGGAGAGGGAGAAAGAGGGAAGGAGGGATAGAGGGAGGGAAAGGGTGAGAGGGAGGGAGGGAGGAAGGGAGAGGGAGACGGAAAGGGTGATAGAGATAGGGAGAAGAAGAGGGAAGGTGAGGGAGAAGAAGAGAGTGGGAGTTAGGGAGGGAGAAAGGGAGAGGGAGAAGGATAGAGAGAGGGAGAGAGAGAGGTAGACGAAGGAGGGAGGGAGAAGAGGGTGAAAAGGAGGGAGATGGAGAGGGTGGGAGGGAATGAGGAAGAGAGGAGAGAGAAAGAGGGAGAGGAACAGAGAAAGAGAGACAGAGAAAGATAAAAATGAAAACTGGTCTTATATATCATTTTCTATTACTGCCAATCAGCTGTTAATTCATTTAGTAGCAATAAACAGCTTTAAGAAATAAATCATTTTTCTTAATATCATAAAAATCAAAATCAATGTCTGTTTCAGATCTTTGTCTCTCATTATGTTATTTTTCTTATCTATTTCCTCCCATTATTTCATATTTCCTTGTACTTATTTCTATTTTCTATCTATGACACCTTTCTAGACTATTATCAAAATTACTTAAACACTATAAACTCACACCGGAAAGAAATAAAAGTATATTCAACAAAGGGTTTACATACATTGTTAAAAAAAAGAAAAGATTAAAAAAAAATAATAATAAATAAAAAAAAATAAAAAAAATAAAGAAAAGGAAAAAAAAGTTGGTCTCACCCCCTAAAAAAAAAAAAATAAATAAATAATAATAGTAAAAAAAAAAATAATTAAAATGGTTTATTCACATTACGATGAAATCTTCTTATCTCAATTTAAATATCCTTCCGTTTCTTTCGCATTACGTACCGTTCCGTACCACGTACCAAGTACCGGTACTCGCTGACGTACAGTACTAGTTTTGGCTTACGTACATCTATTCTGATTTTGCCCATTATGACTTTTTTGGTTTATTTATTGCCCCCTTCTCTATTTTGTATGTTTCCAACCCATGAAAATGCACTCTCATTCTCTCTATTATCTATACAGCCCATATATATCCAAAAATATTCTCTCTTTTATCCATATAACCCATTTATATCCACAAATATTTTCTGTTATTCATACAACCCATTCATATCCACAAATATTTTCTGTTTATCCATAAACCCATTCATATCCAGAAATATTCTCTCTATTTTCCTTACAGCCCATCCATATCCACAAATAATTTCTCTGTTATCCACACAACCCATTTATATCCACAAATATTCTCCCTATTATCGATACAACCCGTTTATACCCACAAATATTCTCTTTACTATCCATACAAACCATTTACATCCTCAAATATGCTTTCTATTATTCATACAACCCATTCATATTCACAAATATTCTCTCTATTATTCATACAACAACCCCATTCATATTACAAATATTCTCTCTATTATTCATACAACCCGTTTATACCCACAAATATTCTCTCTATTATTCATATAACCCATATATATCCACAAATATTCTATTGTTCATGCAACCCCATTTATATCCACAAATATTGTCCCTAGATTCGATACAAACCATTAATATCCACCTACATTCTCTCTTTTATGCAAATCCTGATATTCATTCATAATTTTTGTTCCTGTTTATCATCCTAAATTACTAAATAAATAAATAAATAAATAAATCCTAAATAAATTTTTATTATCCTAAATTACTGATCGACGGAATAAATAAACAACAACATCCAGTGACATGTTAATGAACACGAATTTAAGAGCACCGTCTGTTTTTTTTTTTTTTTTTTTTTTCTTTCTTTTTTTGATTTCGATTATTTTTGATTTATTTATTTATTATTTTTTTCTCGATTTTTTTAATTTATTTTTTTGATTTCTCGATTTTTTCTTGCCGATTTTGATTAAAAAAAAAAAA